ATGGAAATTTAATTTATAATCATAAGAGAGCTAAATCAAATCTTGATTTCATCACTTCTCTATAATGTTATTATACTGCACGCTGATGTTTGATCCAACTACAACTCCTTTATATCCTTTAAGGGTCTATTTGGTTGAGGATTATTATATACTCATTAATTAGCTAGAAAAACACTGTGAAACTACATACTTATAACCCGGTTAACATCAAGCTGTGCACTAATGCTCAGCAATGGGATTTCATTATAATGTACATAGAGGTCAAAAAACCTTGCAGAAATGGGACCAGTCACTGTTCATGGATTTTATCATGTCTGGTTGGCCATGAGTGCCTGCCTCAAGTTGGTGATTTTGTAGTGTATGGTTACATCAATATGATACGTAGTTTCTTTTGTTCTGTGGGGTTTAGAGAATCCAAATACCTATGGGAGTTGATTGTGCTCCAATTGATTTGGACCATTGCTTGTTTGTAGCACTCTAACGTTTTGTTTGGGACAGCTTCTTTGATGCTTTCTAGTATAAAAATTTAGATTTCAAGAAATTTTTGTACTAAAAAGTTATTTTAGAAAGCAATAAAAAGTTATCCCAAACGAAACCGAACGATCAGGCGAAGAAGCATATTTTTGCCAATTAAGTGATAAAAACAACACACTTTCCAGCCAATATGAGAGTGAAACATCATGAATCTCTGCCAAGCTTTATCTGGTTCCTCTATGGACAAATGTTTTCCAAGTTTAAATCATGCATCCACTCAAACCCACTTAGTGCCATAACAAGATTTCTCATTAGCTTGGTGGCTTAAGGTTGTCATACAGGGCTACAAGGACTGTCATGTGATATATGTTTTTATAGATAACCAGAATACATAGAACATATTTATGTGCTGCCAGAGATAAAGAGTTTGATATCATCCATAGTGTTAATCATGTGGAGCCAAAATTGGAGAATTTGACATGTTCTCAACTATTTTGAATTCGAAAATTCTTGTGAAGAATGAAATCAAAGATAAAATTAAGTGCTAACGATTAACAATGATGTGGAGATTGCAAAAAAATTAAAATTTATTGTGGAGCTATGAGATTCATATGAAGAGAATGGTCCTAGGAACTCCACTTCAAAATAAAGTTGTTTAGAGGAGGAATACAACTTTTAGCCTATGTTCATTAAGCATGAGATTGATACAGGTATTGTCATATTTGAAGGTTTTGGCTACTTACCATATATCTATGTTAATAAGATAAATAGAGATAAGTTTGAACCAGAACCCAAGAAGTGCTATGTTATTGGATATTATAAAGAGGAGTCCGGCTACATATTTTGGGATAATGAAGTAAAAGTATTGTTATAAATGAAAATATTATTTATGATGAATTTATTTTATATAAAGATATATAGATTAATCACCCCCAAAGACACCTTTACACAAGAGCATGTTCAACTAAAGGAGCTATTGTTTTGGAATAAAAATAGAAAACATTGAAGGAAACTTAAAGAGTAGCTTGAGCCTAGAATATGTGTGACTCTAGTTAAAAGGCCACAAAGAACTCATAAGTTGATTAATTGTTATTCTCATATTTTTTTAGATCTTGTTGCTTATACTTGCCCCCCTCCAAAATTTAGAAAAGCCCGCGTCAAAAGCTTCCCGCAAGCGGTTTCTAAAAAAAAAACTCAATTCCAAGCATATCTTCATAGAGTATATTGATTTTTTCCTAATTCATATAAACAATAAACTGATTAATTGAATCTGAATATAAAGATCAACTAAAACAAGGTTAAAGTTGCCCCCCCTCAAAATTTCTAGCTTCGCCATTGTGGGAGCTTATTATTAAAGATTAAATAAACAAATTTTATAAGAACAACTTGATGTTGACCAATCTGCCTAAAGACAAAAAGTGTTGCATAATATATAGATATAAAAAGTGAAGGAAGAATAAATAAGAGCCAAATTTATGAGGAAAGACCGTTGGAAAAGGGTTTTAATAGAAATAAGTTACGTATTACGAAGTTATTCTCTTATATAGTAAAACTAATGACTATTCATCTAGTGTTGAGCATTATAATAATGAAAGATCTATATCTTGAATAAGTGGATGTAAAGACAACTTTCCTCCTTGGAGGAAGAGATATCCATATGGTAAAACTTGAAGGATTTATTGAACTTGGACATAAAAGCCTTGTGCAAGCTAAATAAAAGCCTTTATTGTTAGAAGCGAATGCATCACCAATTGTATTAAATTTTAATCGATCCATGCATGCATATATAGGATCAAATTCTGCAGATGCATCCTCATTGCTACTATATTAAAGAAATAAGAAAATATTGCATTATTCTATTATTATATGTGGATCACATGTCAATTCTAGAGACTAATATTCAAAAAGATCAATAATATGAAGGTATAACTATGTATAAAAAAATATTGGTACAAAATATTTGAGAGGATCTAAAATGGATTATCGGGATATGAATAAATTACGGCAAGACCACAAGTACATTAAGGTTTTCATAATCACAACATACTGGAAAAGGTATTATAAAAGTTCTTATTTAACAAAGATTGTCAATTTTACTCCCAGGGAAAATACCCTCAACGTAAATTCAACTTCTTATGAAGTTTACTCAAAGGAGTTCTAAAGTTCATCAAGATCAAGAGGGAGAAAAATTCTACTGATATGCTCATAAAAATGGTATATGTTGAAAGTTTTTAGGCTTTGCACGCCCTTTATTAATCTCCACGAATATGATTTGGAGGTGCCGCATAAAGAGGTGCTCATAAATTGATCATTAAGCTTGTAAATTAGATTTTCTTTTTCAAATGGGAGATTAATAGCCAGATAGAGAAAAAATTTCGTATTGATAAACTTTTCACAATATTTGATTGAATCTTCGCTTTCATTATAAATCTTGAATTTTTTTTTTAATTTTTTTGAGAAAATTTTGGAGATCTCATATTTAATGCAATATCTGACGATATTATTTATTTTCTTTGAGTGTTTTTGTAGGATTTTTATTAACTTTGAATGATCTTGTTATATTTTGTGAGAAGTTGATGTGAAACAACTTGCGGTGGAAACATGACTTACACGTTAGAGATTAAAGAGAGTTTAACTTTGCAATGTTAACGATAAAATCTAGCTTACTCAAGTAGGATTCAAGAAAATTTGTGATAGATTATGTTAACGGCAGTGATTACATTTAAGAATTACAAGAGTCTTGCAAAAGATAACCCAAAATAAACTAGATAATGCAAATAGCTACTACTAAAGCCACACGTTTAAAGTTTAGATCGTTCACCTTGAGATCCGTCACTCGTTTTGAAAGTGGTGAGAGCCACGGGTTGGAGAGGGGTAGTGGGAGGGTGGAGCTATGGGGGAAGAGGACTTAAAATCTGAATTTTAATTCAGATTTCCGAAATAGGAGAACTCTTAATTTTAATTTCAGATTTTTTTGAATTTGAAATTAAGATTAGGAGGGAAGGAATTCATGGATCAATTAAGAAAATTAATAGGGGGAAGAGAGAGGAGTGGCCGGCCAAGAGAGAGAGAAGGGAAATTAATTTTCAATAGGTGGGGCCCCTGGTTAAGTAATTAAATCCTAATCAAATTCTGAAATAATAATTTCAGATTTAATTGGGACTTAAGTAACTTCCCAATTTGGTTTAATATGAGAGGGAAAAGAATTTCAATTTCAAAATAGCTCTAAGTGTCATTAATTACATTGCCTTAGGATGAATGCTTGATTAGGCAGGTAATTAAATCACAGGAATTGGAGTTCACGGCTTGGGCAGAGCTTGGATTGACCGGCTGCAAGAGAACTGTAGGGAGACTGGGGCTGGAGGCTCACGGCTGGCTGTTTAGCCGTGGGGTTGGGAGCAGTAAGGGGAGGGGTAGTTGCACGGGAAGATTACCAGGCCGGCTGCCCAAAGGATTGGAGGCTGGACGGGCCGGCGGTAGGCAGTCAGGTGCTCGACGGCTTGGGTGGCTTAGGGCTGAGCGGAGGCAATTGCAAGGGGAGAAAAAGAGGGAAATTGAGGGATTGACTGATTCCAAATTTACTAACCTCGAATGTCTTCTCGTTGAATTTCCACAAGATTAGTTAGCACGAACTAGAACTCACAAAGAGATCTAGTCTTCTCCGGCGAACTCACTAAGAAATCGAGGAGGGTGAAGAACTCACCAAGAGATCTTCTTGAACTCACAAAGAGAACACATAATGGTAAATTTTCATTTCATCAAAAGCTAAACTATTATATAAGAAAAGGGCCATATAAATAGGCCTCAAAATGACAAGAAAACAAAAGACTAAAATGCCCATCGGGCTACAATAACGACCAAATACCCATAAGGGCTAAAACGAAAAAACATAAAAATAAAAAAAACTACTACATAAAATGATGAAAATAAAGATCATGATCGTGGCCGTCGATCTCCGGCATCTCCTGATGGTACACGTGTCGCAATCTCTGACAATGTCCTCATCAGAAGTTTTATGACTCTGAATTTATTTCTTATCAATTAAGAGGTAGGGGTTGACATTCCACAATCACAAACAAGATATCAACCTTGTTAGGAGTTTTATTTGGGTTCATGCGGGAGGAAAATCTTATGTTTGTTCAAGAAGAAAAAGTTGAGACTAGTTCAATTCCACAAAAAAAAAAGAGGTTGTCAACCATAATAAGGATAAACTCTCATAACAAAGGAAGAAAGAGAACAATAGTAGCATCATTTTATTCCATGTTTAGCCTTGTCATTCATTCGTTGGTTGTGTTTCTTTTTAGTCATTGACATAAAGAAACTCCTATTTATCCTTATCTTTTTAACTTTGTATGAACATAAATCCTTGATGTACCCCTTTTTTAGAGTTTAGTAAAATACTTAGGCTTCGTTTGGGATAGCTTTCTTATTGCTTCTTAAAGCAGCTTTCTAAATACTAGTAAACTGTTTTAAGAAGCAATAAGAAAGCCATCCCAAACGAAGCCTTAATCTGTGTGTCTGTTAGCATACGTGGATCTCACCCAACACACACTAGCGAGAATTTATTCTGTGCGGAGACCGGATGCAGAATGCTATCCGGAGATTAACCAGAATGTGTCATACCAGCGGTACCGAGCCGTGGTACTGAACGGTACCGAGCCGCGGTACCGAGCACATGGGTGACGTGGCACATTCTGGTTAGTTTCCGAACGACTTTCGACGTTTGCACAAAATTATTAATCCACACTAGCAGATGTCTAGTGCATATATTCTCATCTTGTTCTCATGCACTTGGATGCTTAACTATACATCATGTCCAGGAAAAAAAAATTATATAACACAGATTGGCCTGTTAAGATGTCTTGCTCAAATCTCTCCTCATTCCCTTTCCTTTGATCGGTTTTTCCTGTTTAATTTGCTCCATGAAGCAAGTGGTAGGATCCACTTTTTCCCTGGTCAACTGCTAATTGATTGGGAATACCTATTCAAGTGCTCTAAAGCAGGAAGGCATGAGGTTACATTATTTTGGGGCATTACTGGAACAGCTAGTCTCGCCAATAGTCTGACCTAATAAATATGCTTTGTTATTACATGAGATATCTGTCTTGCTGTTGCATCCTTCAGTCCTTCACGTTGACAATAGACTATAACACTACCTGCATTTGAGTACTCTTTATTTTTGGTGGATTTTGAGGAATGGACATTGAAAGAAATTCCCATTGGATGGAGTCTCTCATGCTTCCACGTGATGGTATTTTATTATAGTTATTGTCGAAAGCTCTCTGATGCCTTAATTGTCTTGACTGGCTTTACTGTAATCTTTTCGGTAACATTTTCTGAACCTTCTTGCCTGGTTCTTAAATCAATAAAATGTCAGCTAAGTTTGAGCTTGTTCAATTCTGCTGAAGAGACAAAACAATAAAGTAGAAAACTTGGAAATTTAGTTGCTTCATCATTTTATAATTCCTGTTTTGAAGAATTATCAAGGTTGTTTCAAATGACTGTCCTTATCATTGTAGTGGGGATTGCCTAATGGTGGCCCCTTGCACTTAATGCTTCCTGAGCTGAGAGTCAAAAGGTTACCTCTTGCTGGATGGGTTGCTGCTAATTTACCGTTCAGGTAATAGTTACTAGTTAATTAACTGAAGTTTTACCTATTTTGGTGCTTAGAGCACAGAATCAGCTTATAAACTAAGGCTTCGTTTGGGACGGTTTTCTTACTGCTTCTTAAAGGAACTTTCTAGTATAAAAAATTTAATTTTTGTACTAAAAAACTATTTTAAAAAGCAATAAGAAAGCAATTCAAAACGAAGCCTAAAATTTGCTTGTGCTACAATGATGTGGCAAATCTGGAATTAAGAATAAGGAATCCTAAACAATTAAAAAAACTTTCCTATGTTGTTGCTGATCTGAACAACTTTTTCTTGTTTTCCCCATGTGTTCGAATGGAGGAGGGAAAGACAAAATGCTCTTGGCTAATTCAGGGGCTTTTGGAGGTTTGGTAGGTTCAAGTCTTTTCTTTTTCCTTGCGTTCACTTTTCCACCCACCTGCGTTCCTTTTCTGTGAATCTAACATTACTAAATCACTGGAAAATGAAACTGTCATGCAGAGTAGTGGCCATGTTTTAGAGATGATGAGCTTTACAAGTTACTTGTTTTTAGTGGAATCTGAGGCAACACGAAGGCTGAGGAAGCTACCTTGAAGGTCGGTATGATAGTTTTGTGACTTTCTTCTTCATTGAGCTTTTTAAGTCTGGTGCCTTACTGGAACTGTCATGTCACGTCAAGGACAATACGAAATTGTTACCAATAGAATCATAGAAATCGAGTTTAATGAACCTGTAAGGCGAACCATTAACCCTTTAACATATCAGATAATAAAAACCCACTACTTAGCAATTCAGCTGAGAAGGGGACCTGAACGTGTTTGAATGCTGCTTGAAGGGTATAAATGATGGCATTCTTGTAATAAAGAGAAGTAAATAAACTAAGCTAATTTACTTTTTATATATGTATATATAACTCAAAGAACCCAATGAAATTTGAATTAACCTCAAATTTATAAGATAATTATAAAATTAACACTTAACTAATTACAAATAGATGCTAAAATAGATGGGGATATTATTTGTAGAATTCAAGTTGGGTAGTTGAAGTGGATGAATGCATTGAGCCTGTGTGTGACAGAAAAGTACCCCTCAAATTTAAGAAAAAAAATTTATAAGATAGTAGTGAGACTTGCAATGCTTTATGGCACTGAATGTTGGCCATTAAAAGAGAAGCATAAAATTAAGTTAAGTGTTGCAGATATGAGGATGCTCGGGTGGATTAGTGGTTTCACTCTTAGAGACAGAACGTGAAACGAGTATATACATGAAAATGTTGGAATAGCTCCAGTGGCATAAAAGATTAGAGAGAGTCGCCTTAGATGATTTTGACAGATAAAACGTCAACCTTTTAATGACTCACTTAGGAGAGTAGATGTATTAAATTTAGTTTATATTAAGAAAAGTAGAGGTAGATCTAAAAAGATTTGCCTAGAAAATATCATAAATGATATTTTTTTTATTAAATTTAAATGAGAATTTAACTCTTAATAAGACACAATGGAGGAAAAAGATTTATATATGGCTGATACTTTAAAGGCTAGATGATGTTATTATTGTAGTATATTTGACAATAAGTTTGAACAACTCTAAGCAATTAATTAGTGTTCATCATTGTTGAGATTCTACCAAATCAAATATTATGAAAACTTTACTCGAAAGAGTAAGCTATATCATAATTAATCTTAGTCTTCAAGTCTTAACACTCTGGCATTCCTCTAAGTAGTCAACCTTTCAATCTGGTATGGTGAAACTACTTCTCATCTTGATTATTGCTATGAAATGGTGAACTTGAAATAATATTAACTTAGCACATCATTAGGTTACACCACATAAAATTTATTCTCATCAAATATAAAAAAAAAAATACATACATGAATTTATACTTAACACATTAATTACACTTAGGAAATTAATATAATTATCAAAAACTTAATGTAAGTAACTTAATAATAGTAATTACAAATTCAAAACTAGTTCAAATCATTTACAAATTCAATACTACTCATCACATATCATTATTTACAAGTTTCATTTGATTATATTTATTATGACACACTAGTAGATGATCAATTTATATTTGACTAAGTCGCGTTAAAAAATCATGAACAATATTCAAGAACAAACAAAATTAGATGAAATTAATTATAATATGAAATCAATACAATTTCAAATCACTAGGTGATTTTTAATCTTGAAGTTTTATAAATACAAGTATTTATCTCAAACTATTCTTGTTATCTATAGATTTCAATTTGGAGCTCTATAAGTTAGAATTTCAAAGTAATTTATCACTATTTACTATTTGCAACTTGTTATTGACCACTCATCGGTTATCATTATCTATAAGTTCCAACTTGATGATTATTTATTACAAGTCCATTGACGCCATTAGTTCTCAACATTCTCTTATACTTATCAACATTGCATATCACACTAATTAGGTCTTGAAAATATTTCACCACGAGAGAGAAGTCTACTCTAGTAACGATTTGAAAGAAGCCTGTCTTACGAGTTAAAAAAACTTTTAGCGCAAGATGAGATCCACCTAAAAATATGAAGAATTGCCCCTAAAAAGATATAAAGGGAAAAAAAGTTAAAGGCTTGTGATGACTTTATTATATATGCACAAGCAAAAGTTTTCCAAATCTTTATCATCATAGGAGAAAGATAACAATTCCTCTCATAGGGACATCACACCATAACGAAAAATAATATTATATTTCATTTCAATAAGTATATAATTGCAAAGTCTCCTACCCTTTATAATTTATAGGATTTCTTAAAAAAAAAAATTATAAAGTACACTAATCAATCACCTAGTTATCTACTCAGAAACTCGCCTACTCAATCTTTTCTTTCCCTTTTTCAGAAATTCTTCTATGCTTTGAGAGTTGTCGAGGTTGGCCTATACAAGCACTAACACTAGCTTCTTGCTTCACCAAAGTTTGTAGACACAAGGCGATTCCCTTATCATATTTCTCCGAGATCAAGTCCATATATTTTTGAGCCTTTACAAAGTTATCGAACAAGTCATTTGGAGTCTAAATTTTTATTTGGGATAGCTTTCTTATTGCTTTGATTTTCATATGATAATCATAATTTCAATTCGATTATGATTTTATTTGTTGTTTAAAAAAAATTACACTAAAAATTGCTTTCTACAAAAACTTCAAAAATTTACTTTTACTATGCAACTTTACAAAATAATAAGTATCTAAAGTTTCGTTTGGGACGACTTTTTTACTGCTTCTTAAAGCAGCTTTTAATTACCAAAATTAAAAAATTTTAAATAAAGATCCACTTTAAGAAACAATAAGAAAACTGTCCCAAATGAAGCCTAAGACTTTCTTTGAAACAATTTTCTTACTACTTTCTAAAGCAGCATCTAATTGGCAGCCATTGCCAATAAAAAGAGACAAAATTATATATATATATATATATATATATATATATATATATTTCTATTTCTATTTATAAAAATTTTGGGATCCAAATTTATATGTTGGTGATAACCAAATCTTCCAACACTTACAAGGCTCACGACAAAACAACACATGGAGAGAAAAAGGAGAAAAAATGACAGAGAGATATTCTAAGTATTATATTATTGAATTGAGTGCTCCCAAAATAAACTCCCGAAAAATTGATTGTGCGGACGTCGAACGCCGTCCGGAAATCACCCAGAATGTGCCACGCCATCCCTTCATTTTGTATTGTGGATGGATACCGCTGACGTGGCTGCACCTGATTCGCCTTAGGGCCTAGAGCTACGTCCGTCCTTTGCAGAGAATAATCTCTCCCAAATTTGACATATAACCCATTATTTATAGGCTTATGGGACTACGAGAATGAACTATATAAATAATATATTCATTAATAAAAGACTTGTAGTCCAGTATGATCGAGCCAGGCCGTTGACATATCCGAGCATATAAATTTCATATTTTTTTTGAAAAACTTTCTATTTGGTAACCTTAAATAGGGAGAAAACTAATATAAAACTATTCTTATTAACATTTCTCACTCTTTCTCTCTTATTATTATTATTATTATTTTTGATCCATCAACAAAAAAGAAGTCTATACACTCGATCACCTTTTTATCTACTGCTCCGTTGAAAACTTTGATGAGCTAATCTACAGGCTGGTCGTTGACTTAGAGTTCCCATCAATCAAGAAGTATGAATGAGATTTGAGATTTTTTTTTTTTCATAATAAAACTTTAAATCATTTAAATTGAAATTAATAGTTGCAGCATATGAGTTAAATTCATAAAAAAAATCATATTGTTAGTAAGGAAAAATGTCTATACAAATTGGTATCTATTTGAAAATTAGAACACTATAGATTAAAATAAATGATTTTAAAAAATATGAATTAATTTGAATTATAATTTTTAACTCTCAGAATATTTATGCTTTTTAGAATATTTATGTATTAGAAGGATCTTTGTACTCATTTTGTTGCATCGTTAGGATATCATGATGAGTTTCATCAATGAAGCCCATTTTGATTTAAATAAAATTTTTGAGAGCAGCAAAAAAATAATGATTAAATAAAAATTGTGATATATTACGGTATGAAAAACAATTAAAATCTTATTTAAATAATTGACCGTTTAAAATAAAAAAAAATATTTAAATTAAAAAAAAGTGTGGAGAAATTAAATTATTCGTATAATGTTTGGAGGCAGCTTTCACCGACCTAGGTTTAGCTAACAGAAGCCCTAACATATTGCATATTGTAAGCAATGATTGCCGCTTCTAATAAGGCAGTAGATAAAGTTTCACATGGCGAGCAATAAACAGCACTGTTGCTCCTTGTGCTTCTAGTAGCATGTAAGAGACATTTTCATTCAAGTGGAAGAGAGAAAAAAGAAGAGAGAGACAGATTTATTCTAGTCATTTTTTGTTATGAATTTTAAAAAGATTAAAGCTGTGTTTGAGACCTTTTTTACGGCTTCTTACAACAACTTTTTAGAAAGCTGTTCTAAGCGAAATCTAAGATTTTATTTGTGTCAAAGGAATAAAATAGTACATTTATGTAAAAAGCATGAACAAATGTATATTTTCATTAGCAATTTCTATCCAATATTATTGAAAAATGGGGGAAAAATTCTTATCATGTGAAGAAATTAAAATTCATTTTTTCATCGAATAAGGGATTGCTTTGGACAGCTTTCTTACTGCTTTCTAAAGTAACTTTTTAATATAAAATTTAATAAACAAAATATTTTTGTACTAAAAAGCTTATTTATGCTTCGTTTCGGACGATTTTCTTACTACTTTCTAAAGTAATTTTCTAGTATAAAATTTCTTGAACTAGAAATTCTTGTACTATAAAGCTGTTTTAGAAAGTAATAAGAAAGCCATCTCAAATGAAGCCTTAGAAAATAATATAAAAGTTGTCCCAAACGAAGCCTAAGACTTTATTTAAGACAACTTTTTTATTGCTTCTTAAAACAGTTTTTTAGTATAAAAATTTTATCTATTGAGTACTCTTGTGAGAGCCTTGCTATATATGTATTTACAAGTGTTAAGTTTATTCAGCTAAATCTTTAGGATTTTTTCACTTAAATGCTTCAATGTGCTTGTGATAAACAATTGTTTGTATGTTCAAATACATTTTATTCATAAAACAAAATTAATCTTGATAAATAATTATTCTATCAGCTTGATCTATAACTAGCTATTATGTTATCTTCAATAAATAATGGATAAAATGGCAAGGTAATGCATTAAGTAGCAGATTCAAATATTTCTTATCCATAAAAGATTGAATTTCACTTTGATCAAGTGTAA